CTCAAGTGACAATAGATAGGACACCTGGCAAGAAGGACGGACAACAGATGGACCACAAAAATTACAGCATGGTATCCACGAGGAGTTAAGAGACCTAGAGAAAAACCTGGGATGGGACTATGGACTATGATATTAGGAAATTAGCAGGGATAACATGGGCCCGCATGGCCAACAATAGACAACATGGGCCCAACTACAAAGAGAGTATATGGTTGAATAAGCTGAAAATGGTGAAAATCAATATATTATAATATTTGCGGAAACCATAAAAAAATAAATAAAAATTTCCCATATCCCTTAAGCTTGTTTAATATTTTAAGTTAATAATACACCGCTGGTGCCATGATATACAAAGCATGCTTTTAAAAGTTTGGGTTGAGAAAAGCAATAAATATCTTTAAAAGTTTTAAACGTTTTTAGCAGAATTTATTAGCGACGTAAATTTCGGCGGGCTTGTAAAAGTTAGCAAGAACCGGGTTGGATAAACTATTTATGCGCCCAGGAAACTATAAATTTACAGGGATACTTCCAGGGTCATGGTCGTAAAAATTTAATTTTGATTAAAAGTGGCGTTTCGCTATAAAACGTAAAATACTAGTAGATACATTAGCAATTTTGACTCAAATAAATCTAATATTAAATATTTCTGACTATAGAACCGTCTAAAAATAAAAAAGCATTACTTTACATTTTATTAAATAAACATTAGGTTCGAGGAAGAAAGTTAATTAACATTAATTCACCACAATACATCAAAATACTTTACTTTTGCACTGGACTTTAGTTTTCAACTGGATTTTTTATTACATTTTTTTTACATTACAGCTTTAGGCCAGTCGGTACGTCGTTTTAAATAGGCCTAGGTGGAAATAATTAGGGGCAAGCTGAATTATTTTTTATTTTCTTTGTTTTGATGTGCTGAATGATATATTCAATTTGCACGGTCTGTCGATCTCGGATTTGGCCGCCATTTTGAAAAAGTCGATATAAAAACTACATTTTTATGGATTTTTTAAAATATCTCGGTCTGGGTGCATTGTAGAAAAAAAAATGCAGGTAACCAAAAATAAAGCAAATTAAATTCTCTACAAAAAAGGTTCTATTAATTATTCTCGTAAACTTATTATAGTCTGTCCAACGAGAAGATCCTTGACAGTGATAGATGTGTCTGACATTTTAATTTCAAAGTAGTTTATTTTATGTTACAAAGAAATAAGTTGGTACAACTGGAACGCATAGCAGGAAATTAATATATGTATTTAAAATTTGACTGACAAGTAACTTCAAAATATTTTGAAAAATACTGTATACAACTGAAAAAATGTAATCGAGTTATTTTATTTAATAAAAAACGGTATTTGTTAATACAAAACAAACAAAAACAAGACACCACATACCAAAAAATATAAAAAAGAACTATTTCTTACTTTCAAGCTTTATGAAACTTCCCGCATTTATGATTATATTTATCAATATAACTTATGTACAAATACAAATATGTAATATTCCGCAGGAATAAATAAAACAAACTATTTTATTAATAATAACACTTTACACCTCACAGGTTGATTAATTAAGTTTAATCTTAATTTTTTTAAACCAGTACCTTTTGACATTATTTTTCTGCAGTACTAAAATCCATTATTTACCTATCGTGTAATGTCGATATTTTACAGCTACTCCAGTTTTTAGTATGTGTTTAGTATGGTCCTTCTACCATATTCAAGATGCACTTATCTACGACGAGATGATATACGAACTTTATTGATAGTAACTTTATTGGTGTATCTGTATAAGACTTTCTGCCTAGGCAGCGAGTATTAACCATAAACTGTGCTGTGGGTTCTACAGTTAATTTTCACTCGATTTTTCCTCCACTTGACTTCAAAAGACACAAAACACACGTAATAACAATATATATAATAAGTAATAACACAAATCAAAATGCATCATCTTCCAAAACGCAGGGTATTTGACAAAAGTTGTCACAAAATTATAACCTATAATTTGGCAAGACTTTGACAAACGTCAAAAAGTCGTTTATCATATCATATCATCGTTCCGTCAAACCAATAAAATTGAAAGACGATCTGTCATTTTTGAAATAAACCAATAAAACTGGTTAAAAACAACAAGTGACGACGCATGACGAATTTATATTTAAACCCATCCATAGTTAACTTAAAAATTATTAGAAACTTTTTTTAGTAAAATAAATAGATTGGTATGGGACGTCATCTGCTTTTCTTCTGTCATCGTCTGTCGAAATCTTACCTGAGAAAAAAAACAGAGTATAGTTCTAAAGTTATAGCAATTAACATCTAAGGCTTATTAGCCGACCATACCAACAAGTATGGTAGGCTATTAAGATCGGCAAAAAAAAAGTTTTTTTAATTCTACTCAGAATGAGTTATTTGGGTCATAAATGACCTAAATACAAAATATTTTCATGGTGTCTGTCTGTCTGTCCGTCTGTAACACGATAACTCAAAAACCGCTAAACCGATTTTAACCAAATTTGGCACAAAAATACTGTGGCACCCGAGAATCTGGGCCATTAGTTTTTGGTGGGGGTGGGTGGTTGGTATTGCGGTCAATTACGCAAACCAGTTCGGGCGACTTTAAGTTTTAGTGTTTCATTATACTATTCCGAAGTAAGACACAAAGATTAGGATTAGGCCTATAGGGGAAACCACTTAAAAAAAAGTGCGCCGAGTGCTCTACCGCCAGGTAGTGTGAAAACGAGCACAAGAAAACCATAAATTTGTACTGGCAAATTATTCAAATTTACATAGAATCAGTTTCTCATATTAAATGAATCACTAGAAAATATATGCTTTGTATTTAAGCGCCTGTATCTTGTTAGCCTGTTCATGCACGAAATCGGTGAACCTTTTTTGTAGAGAATTTAAATATCTTTCTTTTTTGTCTCTTTCAAATTTTCTGTACAGTGCACCCAGACCGAGTTATTTAAAAAAAAAACATAAAAATGTCATTATTTGACAGGATTTTCCAATATGGCGGCCAAATCCGGGATCGATAGGCCGTGCAAATTTAGTATAGTATTCAACAAAGCAAAACAAAGAGAATAAGTGTTATTGCAGCTTGCCCCTAATTATTTCCACCTAAAACCACTTGTCGACTGGTCTATTTGACTTTGACAAAAAAAATGAATTTAGATAAACTGAACGATTTCAGAAAGTCCCCAAAAGAGAGTTGTAACTGTCGAATGTGACCAGATCCGTAAAAACATAAACTCTATCCACCACTGTATTACTGATCGAATAGTCGGAAATTTGTATTCCCGATCTTAAAATATAAAATATAGTCGATATTTGGTATTAATTATTAATGTTAGAGATGTGCTAAATTGTTGTTAATACAGGGTGGCGCCTCTCATACGCCGCGGAAGCTCCAATGAGAACGGTAGTTTATATCGAAATTAAATTTTGGCAGCATAATATGTAGGTTAACTGAAAGCATTTTATAAAAGTAGCTATTCCGGTGTTCAATGAGGAATTTATATATCTTCAAAATATTGTTAAGGTTGCCTACCCCTCAGACAAATATTTTCCTAGATATTTTAATTTTTATGATTTTATCAGTAGATCTTTATTATTTGAAAAAATCTAGGGTGGCTGTGATACACCTTTTGTTAATTTAACAAAAAATAAAGATTGTAGAGTAAAATGCTCAACGGTAATAAAAAGATACACTTTTAAAACATATTTTAATTATTACAGAATTAAAACTAGATATAAACCTATAATTATGTGACAAAAATTAGCTAGACGAAATCAAATGCTCAAAATGCTTCCTTTCCTGTTAGCTGCATAAAATGATTGTCTTTTCAAAATAATTTTTTCCATTTTAAAAAGCATATATGGAGTTCTACCTCGAAAAGCAGCTACAATAATTTCTTTCATGTTGTCGACAATAGTTGGTCGAGTTTTGTAAACACTGTCTTTAACATATCCCCATAAAAATCCCAGCCTAGATAAAATCAATCAATCATATCAATTCTCTCTAATGTAGGTTAAGTTTGCATTTTCGGCAAATTTCTGAGAAAAATTTTTGTATGACACAAAATGATAAGTATTTGTTAAAGATGGACTAATTAGACAGCTATGTTGAAGTAACGTCAGACATATCACAGCCACCTAAATTTTATCAAATAATAAAGATCTACTTCGATCAAATCATGTTATTGAAAACATCTAGGAAAATCTTTGTTTGAGGTGTAGGCAACCTTAATAGTATTGTGAAGAGACATGAATTCTCCATTGAATATCGGAATAATATACTGGGTGTTCCATTTAAAATAAAAGAGTTGAGGTGATCAATGTTCAATATTAATTTTGTCTCACCCTGTATAACTTTTTGGATCAAGTTTTAATTTGATTTAAAGTACAATAGTTAATTTAACTATATATTACGCTATACTGGATAAATCCCAATTTAGGTAGCTTTTATTTTCATTTAAAAAATGTTCTTTATTTCTAGAAAATGTTAAAAACATTGTGTAAATGTGTCAAAAACCTTACATTTTAGTCATATACTTCTCTTATTAAGCTCACCTTTATTTTTCTTCTAGAATTCGAAAATCAATTAATATATAGGGTGTTCCATTACAAAAGCACAGCTTTGATATGTATCTTTTTTTGGGGACACCCTGTAGAACTCTCTATATTTTAGAAAAGTGCTCTGAATTAAACTACATATATGCTCAAAAAAATTTCATTTCAATACAAACTGTCATTCTCCTTGTGTTTGTGAAAAAAACTAAAGTGTTCGTTACATGCTTACATGATGACGAGGGGGAGATATCCCCAGAAACATTAAGACCTTTTGTTGGTTAGGGTAATTTTTAAAGAGCTAGTGTAAAAGTTGTCTTCATTTCAGTAAAATTTTGCAAAAAACAGTTTTTAGTTTTCTGTTTCAATATAAAAATACACAATTATTCCAGTAATTTATTATTGCGCCAAACAAAAATATCTTACTCAAAGTGTTTTTCAATTTTTTCCATGTTCTCTTCTAAACAATTATTTTTGAGTAATTAGTATAGCCACTCATTCCTATTTCCGAGTCGGTAAATACCGACGCTATATATACGCGGTTGTCCGGATATCGCTAACAATTTCGAAGTTTATGTCGCGTCTGTCGCCTTACACCAGAGGGCGTCTGGATGACGTGCAACGAGCGTCGCGACGGTACGGTTTCGACTGCTTGGAGACGCCGCTTCGCGTATTTGAGCCGTTCGTCTCGCAGGGCTCCATTTCGAAGGTCGGAAGGCGTTTGCGCCAATGATGCGATTTCATGGAGATTTGGTTAATTGAAGGGACGACGATGTCTATTTTACAGGAATTTTTAAGTAGTCAACTTAATCTGTTGAGAATAAAAGGGCTTAAACACATGTTAAATTGTAATTGAATCTAACAAACGATGTCCAAATAATAACGCATATACAGGGTGGCTCACCTCATTCGTCTCGGTTGATTATATGAAAACGGAAAGATGTAGAAACAAATGTTATTATGGGTATATGTAGAGGGGCAATGTGCATAATTTAAAATTATTTTCAAATGTACAGAGTGTGTCAAAACTAAGATCCATACCAAAGTTATATTTTGTCTTATGGAACACCCGCTATTTTATTTCATTTTTGGATACTTAAGCATAAAATAAAGCATTCATTATAAGGGTTTAATATGTTTAAATGCTTTGGTTTTTGTGATATTTAAAGATATTTAAATATGCATGCTATAATAAAAAAGTTTGTCAACACCCCGTACATTACTTTTCAGAGATAATTCTTGTGCTGACTTTGAAGCCATAGAAATAAGTTTTACTAAAAAAATATATTGTTTCCTTAAATGTATACAGGGGTATCAAAAATTGCTGGTCTATTTTAAATATTTATTTTACATAAAAACTTCGTTATTTCAAATACAACACTATGTATTTTTTAAAATAAGTCAAAGCATATTTAAATGCTCTTTCAAACTATATTATGGTTTCCTATAACTATCTGGCTCAGATTTTGAATAATAATCGATTTTTCGATAAAATGGCAATCAAGATGGCTGGTGTCGCCATGGCAACTTGCTAGTGACAATTAGTAGCTATTGTCAAAATCGACATTAGTTTATGAACTTTAGTTAAATTTATAACAGTTTACTTTAGTAAATTAGTTTAACGAACAAGTATTTATTAATTTATCAAAAAAAAAATAACGAAGTAGTTCTTTGATTTGAATTACGATGACTTGTAGATATATTGGATTTTTTATAAAAGAACGAATTAAGTCAAATTCATTTTCTTCACTTCCAACTACAGGTTTCTGCTTAATAAGTTTTTCATATAACACACTATCAGCTCTGCGAAATAGGAAAAGTAGTTTTTCAAAGGAACGTTTGTCAAGAATTCCTATTTAGATATCTTTGAGCATGAACCTTTCAGGGCAATAAGCAATTCAAAAATAGAATCACCAGTAACATATCCATTCATTCCACTAGAGATACTGCTTCATTTTTCTTGATAAGATGATAAATACTTACTTATTAACCTTATTGTAGATAAATTAAATAAAAATAACTTGTTATAAATTTAAAAAATGTTCATAAACTAGTGTCGATTTTGAAAATACTTACTAATTGTTACTAGAAAATTGCCATGGCGACACCAGTCGTCTTGGTTACAATTCTATTAAAAAATCGCTTTTTATTCAAAATCTGAGCCAGATATGTAGATACGAATAATAGGAAACCCTAATATAGTTTGAAAGAGTACTTAGATCTGCTTCGATTTATTTAAAAAAATACATAGTGTTGCATTTGAAATAACGAATTTTTTAATGTAAAATAAATATTTAAAATAGACCAGCAATTTTTGATACCCCTGCACAGGAAAATGCAAGTTTTTATGTAAATTGTCATATAAGTATTTGTTATGGTTTTAAAGAAAAAAATCATAATTTTGCTTTGATTTCAGTTAAAATATCGGTAGTGTTCCTATGAAAGCCGGTGGTTCCTTATACGGCCAATTAAAAATTTGACGGTTGGTCTTGCTAGGGTACATGGGTCTTACTAGGAACATTTACAAATCATGAAAATATAAACACTTAGTTTTTAGTTATCAATACGTACCGGGAAAGTTGAAACAATGTTTTATGTTTATAATATTATTATTACAAAGAATAAACCCATAAGAACGCCATTATAGGTAATTTTTGTTTTTTGTAATTTCATTCTAAAACGCATTTGGCAACTTATTTGTTATCGATATAATACTCACTACTATAATTTTAAGTAATTTCCATTAATATATTCTTAGTTATACGATTGTGTTCAAGGAATGTTTGAGTTGAGTTTTTAATGAAGATTATATTATGTTAAGCATTTAGTTTTTTATTTAAATGAAAGAGCTTTTATGTAGTTTTAGTAAAAGCGGATATTTTGATTATTACAACTCTAGTTTTAATTTGAACAACTGATTTATAATGTTGGCCTTATATGGAGCCCAGTTCCTTGCAAGGCCGTTTGGAAGAGTTAAAAAATTAATTAAATAGAGAGAAAAAATTAAGTTAAAAAATTAATTAAGAAAATTATTAATTAAATAAAAGTTAAGTTTAATAAATAGTGATTACATCTAGAATAAAAAAAGTAATGTATATTTTATTGACAAAACATTAAACGAAATACAAACCTCAAATCATAGACACAATGATAACAATACACAATATATACAACTTACAATTCCATATATACGAGGCGTTTCGGAAAAAATAAGAAGGATAGGAAAACAATATAAACATACGAACATCTTTCAAAACACAAAATACACTTAGGGCGCAAACATAGTGAGGCATCTCGATGCGATGCTCGCTAAGATGCTGGCCGCGCTGCTCGCCAGGATGGTAGCCGCGATGCATCCTACGCGCATAGTTTTAAAACGGCGAATAGGTGCGCGTAGGCATTCTGAAACATTTACCATCGCCGTTTTATTAAGCACCAGTTTATGTAATAGTAGTTACTAATTAGTATAGACTTGGTGCATTTCAGTCGATTTCAACAAATTCCTACCGCAGCGAGTCAATGGCAAAAATCAGAAATATCTATTTCACGTCGCCGCGCCGTCATGTTGATCGCATAAATGATCGCATAGTGATTAAAGTACTTGCTATAAATAAATAAAGTCCATAAACTAATTTCGATTTTGAAAATAGCTACTGTCACTAAAAACTTTCCATGACAACATCAGCCCTCTTTGTTGCCATTTTATTGAAAAATTGCTCTTTATTCAAAATCTGAGCTAGATAGGTATAGGACACCCTAAAGGTGCGTATTCATTATCCGCACGAACGAACGAACGAACGAACGAATGTTCGCTAGTGGTATGGACGGGGACCGCACGATAGAACCGCACGAGAAGACCGCACGCATTTCTTCATTCGCGCGCCAGTTCAAATCGTCAAGATATTGTTATAAACCTGTTTTTTTTTGTTTATATACCGTCATTGAATTATCGCTAAGCAAGTTACTATGGAGCAGTGCATAAGGAGTCGGGCTAGGAAGCGAGAGACCGGAGTTCGAATCTCGGCCGGAACATCACTTTTTATTTTTTTAAATACTGTTGTATTCTATAGTTTATTTTTGTAGTATAAGAAAAGAACTATTTATTCTGTTATTTTTTTAATCTCCGTTATTAAATAAATTGATTGTTAGTACAATACCTCATTTAATATAAAATAATATTCTACTTTTTGAAATGTATCGGGCCCTAATTGTACCTAAAAGTAATATATTTTTAGTGATATACCATATTGTAAACTATTTAATATTTTAGTCACTTAAAAAGTTAATTTGCATTGAATAATTGCCTACCATTAAAGGAAATTTGAGCTATATAATCCTTGATGGGCATATTCTGGGTATGCAAATACTTCCTTTAAATTTTGGGTGTCGTTCAACCGATTTATTCTCAAAACCAGAAACTTCTACATATAAAAAGAAGCAGAGGTCACTAATTATAATAAACTTCACCCTTGGTATTACTTCCACTAATTATAATAAACTTCACCCTTAGAATTACTTCTATCACAATTACAATACGTTCATCTGCATTGGCATTTTCTACTTTTCGATGGGAAACAATAAACTTCCCAATATTTTTTAAATGATGTAACAATTCCTCTTGTGGTTACTTTTCCATAGATATCCTCAACTCTGTCCTCATGTGAATTCAGAGGCAATGAAAATGAAAATTATTTACCATAAACATCGCAAACTAAAAACCTAATAAACAATTTTATACCGAATATAGAAATAAATTCAGTATTCTTACCTATCGTCCAAATCCATGTTAATAGATAATTATTATTTTTAAATATATTTTTGGAACTGCTGGTTTTAGTAATTATTAAATTAAACGAACTAAAAAGTCTTAAAATAAACAATTCTTAACCATAACCCCAAAAATTGCAGATCTCCTGTCAACTTTCTTTATTTTTTATTTATTCATTATTTTCCTAGTGACGTCACAGGTGGTATGCGCGAACTGAACGAAATTGGAGCCGCTATCGATCATACCTTGTATTCTTTGTACCATGACGTCTAAACGCCTTTGATGTACCGACTCGAAGCGGATGGTCGAGCGCACGAACGAACGAACGGCCGCATGCGTTCGGTCCCCGTCTAAATATACCGCACTTTCATTCGTTCGTTCGTTCGTTCGGATAATGAATACGCACCTTAAATCTGAAAGCGCACGCAGGCGAACGCCGTTGATGTACCGACTCGAAGCGGATGGTCGAGCGCACGACCGAACGAACGGCCGCATGCGTTCGGTCCCCGTCTAAATATACCGCACTTTCATTCGTTCGTTCGTTCGTTCGTTCGTTCGGATAATGAATACGCACCTTAATATATGTAGTTTAAAAGAGCATTTGAATCTGTTTCGATTTATTTTAAAAAATAGGTTGTCGTATTTGAAATAACAAAGTTTTTATGTAAAATAAATATTTAAAATAAATCATTAATTTTTGGTACCCCTGTATAAATTTAAGGCGGCAATACAATTTTTCAGTAAAGTTAATTTCTCTATCTTTAAACTCAGCACAAGAATTAATTCTAAAAAGTAATGTACAGGTTGTTGATAATCTATTCCATTGTAGCATGCGTATTTAAATATCTTTAAATATCTCAAAAACTAAAGCTT